ATTACCTATTTCAAAGTAGCACTTTTGGTGTAAGTTGACAAAGAAAAAATTAGTTGGGGGGTGAATGTCAAGCTCCAGATAGATACAACATTATTGCTTTCTTTTAAGAAAAAAGGGATCCACATGATATCATGATATTCATTTCAAATGCCAAGTTTTTAGGAATAAGATCAAAGTACTTAAGGTGTATGCTAGGTTGTATTACTATAAATGAACCAAAATAGTGGTGACCTTTCATTTTAATTGATCAGTTAAACTTGTAAGGTTTCACCAGAATGTTCAAGTACCAAAGTTTACATTTCCAATTCTCTGCCTCTTAAAAGACAATGCTCCACATCAAATATGTTGAAACTGATATCAGATCACTGTTTGAAATCTGGAAGTCATACTGTGTACTGTTGCTGACTTTGAGGTTTCATTGGCCTGGATTTTGCAGCCAGCAGTGCAGCAATTGTATGCACCACTGGCAGTGAAAGGAAGCTCAGGAAGAACCCCAGTCACATTGGGGTAAGATTCTTTTCTTGGCATAGGCTGCAGTGAGGCTCAGCAATTCACAAAAACAGCAAATAGTTGTGGTATGTAATATGATCACTGACTACTAAATTTTAGAAATTAACAACTGCTGCTGTAAAAAGTCATAGGAAAGAGAAAGCTTTGCAGAATCAGTTCCAAAAAGGCAATGGAAAATCACGTTTTGATACATGCAAATTTTACATAGTTAAAAATGTCTACAGTTTTAATAATGATAATTTTAATCAAATTATTTTAAGTAGTGTTATTTCAAAATTTTGTTAAATCGTACTGAAAAATCATAGTTTTTGCTCTAAACAAGATTCATCAGATTCTTAAAAAGTTTTATGATAAGAAGTGAATCCATCTTAACTTACAAAAATGGTATGACCTCCTCATAATAGTCTTCGAGAATTGAGAGAGGCCTCTTGTGCCTGAAACTGCAGGTATAATTTTTTTGAAGTGTAATGCAATTATCCCAAATTTACAATTGCTGCAAAATTGGTGCTCGTATAGCAAATCCTTGGAAGTAGTATTGATTGGCACATGACAATTTTCAGATTAATTTCAAATTAGAAACTCAAAGTTACAGGAACTCCCCAATATCCAGTAGCAATGAAAAATCAACACATTGTTGCTACTGCCACTGCAAAATCCAATTATTTTCTTTAGATTGAGATAATGTATATGGATTGGATGACAATGCAATATAGTACAAGCATAATTTTTATTTATACAGTTTTGGACCTTGTGACTACTATTTATTTACATGTTTTTAAAACATCTTTTCTATATGAAAGCTAATATTTTATGGAACAGAACCTTATTTTACAGCACAGCTTGCTCAAGCATGTGTTCATTTCAGAAGTCTAGTTTGTACTATGTTACTAAAGTCTGACTGTTGAAAATGCTTGCGTTTTATTAAATGAAGAAAACAGATATGCTTTATTTTTATTGGTTTGTGACCTACCTGAATATGATATTTTTATGATGAATTAGACAGCAAAGTATATTGACGAAGTAATTACAATAACACAGCTTTGAATGGCACAACCAAACAGGAACAAAGGGCAGAGAATATTTTATTGAGTAATAGGAAGTTATACAAAAAAACTCCCAGGTTAATTTTGAAATTAAGTTATGAATCTTTCACCACAGATCAGGGAAGGGTAATCTTTAATCCAGAAGGCAGTCACAGATCTTAGGGTAGGGTCTTCTGATGTGGTCACCGGTCAGGGAAATGACGGTGTGATTGCCAGTGCATTATGCAAGGCAACCTAGAAAGGAGGTGTGCAGGAAACTCAGTCTGCAATTTTCCAACAAGTTTGAGGTTCTTTTGATAGGGGAGGGGCGGCAGGGTGGATGAGCTAATTGACCACAGCACCATGTTACAGGAAATCATTGAAGCAAGGGAACAAAAAGGAATTAAGTGATTGTAGGGGACAGTATATTGAGAAAAATCAAGACTGTTCTCTGCAGAGAAGAGCAAGAGTGCAGATGGCTATTACGTGCCAGGGTTTGAAACATTTGCTCAGGACTAGAGAGGGAGGTGAGGATATGATGCTGCTTGGCCTGCTGTGTTCATCCAGCCCTGCACCTTGTTGTCTAGGATCAGGTCATAATGTTCATGTAGGTACTGATAACATAGGCAAGACAAAGAAGGATGTTCTGCACAGTTAGTATGAGGAGCTAGGCACCAGATTAAGAAGGACAACCTCAAAGCCACAAATCCCTGAATTAATATCTGAACTATGTGCAAATTGGGATTGAGCAAATCACATTAGATAAATGAGTGCATGGCTCACAGGCAGATGTGGTAGAAGTGGGTTCAAGTTCAGGGAACATTGGCACAAGCTCTGGGTATGTGGGAGTTTACTGCTGAGTGAGCTGGGACCAGCATTCTAGAGTGCTTCATAATAAGGAGGGGAGAGGGTTTAAAATTAAATTGGGGAAGATGCAATAAATCAAAGTGTACAGACAAGGCAAAAGGGAAAGTTATTAATCTGGGAAATTATAAAGAAATGAAGTATTTTAAATGTTAAATGTCTGGAGTAATTACAATTAATTTTTTGTTGTGCTGGACTGATCTTGGAATAAAAACAAGCTGCAAGTTGACAGATTTGAGGATTCTGATTGCTTCCACAGTTCTCAAAGACAAGGGCAGTTTCTTCTAATTTTAGATGTTGCTAATCGGAACTTAGAAAAGAACATTTTAGGTGACATAAATTCAAAAGGAATAAAAAGAACTGAGATTTGGAGAGACTTGATGATTAATCTAAAATCCTGCAATTAAGCTGCAGGGCTGAGGGAAATTAAATAGATTTGAAGATGCAAGTTACTGGTGTGTGACTATAAATGATAGTGTGACTATAAAACTAAAACTTATTGGCACAACTGTGGATGAATCACTAGTTACGTTTAAGTTCTCAAATTAAGTTAAGAAGTAGTTCAAATTTGGCCAACTCCTAGGGAACGGTGTATCCCATGAAGCCCTGACACCCACAGGTTGCTGATACGAAATGATCAGTGCATAGCCAAAATATGTGAACTTTAAACAAAGTGTCATCAGCTTTATCAAAGCTTAAAATAGGAGTGTGAATACCATGTGCAGAATTTTAAACAGTATGTGCAATGCAGTAATTGTTATCTGCAATCAGATTGAGTTAGTGGGAGAAAGAATTGGCTGGCCATCTATTAAGATTACAAGGAGAAAAGAAGCAGGGATTGAGAAAGCAAAAGTGTCGAACTTATGGCAGTGACAGTTTTCAGCTTTGGAGTCATTCGGAATACACAAAACACAAACAACTCCCAAATGTGCAGGTAATACACTTCAAAACATTCATCTGGGTAGATATTGTAGCGTATAATACAGACAGAAACTAGGAACAGAAGTGTGTTATGCAAGCGGAAATCAGAAACAAGTAATTACAAAAAGGGACACTATAAACTGAACAATGCACCACAGAGTCTGACAAAGTGAGCAACTTCTACTGTTTCAACATTCGATTTAGCCTTTTATTCCATGAAAACCATCAATAACTCAGGATGAGTTACAACAGCCAGACAGCAACTTAGTTTAAGAACAAAAGTGAATGTATACACTTCCTAATTATATTTGAAGAACACAAGTTATTTATAGTATCTGCTTAAAAACAAATGGCAGCTAATGTGTTTAGCTTGATAATTGTTTTTGGAGTGAACTAACTCAGCTGTTACTGAGTCTAGCTTAAGAGACCGGATGTTATTATGGGGTTTTGGCTGAGAAGTTACCAGGACTGAAAATATGAGAATGCTAGATGATGTGTGGAGATAATGCTATTTAAGACCATTAGGAATAGGAATAGGAGTAGACCATTCAGCCCCTCGAGCTGCTATCCAACAGGCTCATGGCTGAATAATATTGGGTGCTGACTCAGAGGAGCTAATGAGTTTGACTGTGCTAAGGAGCTGAATTTATATTATCCTTCATGGGACAAAGAAATGCTCCGAGTCAATGACAGAAAAGATACCAAACATTCAAGATGTGGTGTTAACTAAGCCAAGAGTTAATTATGGGAAGGAATGGGGAGGGGAAGGGATGGTGAGGGGAGGGGAAGGGGTAGGGAGGGAAGGGGAAGGGGTGGCCAGAATTATTGGATGGAGAAAAGGGGAGATACTGAGAATTCTTGAGACAATTGAAGGTGAGTGGATGGATCAGATGTTAGGAGCAAATGAGAGTAATGACAAGAATCTATTTGGGAGAGCTCTCATGATACAGTGATAGTGTCCTTACTTCTGAGCCAGAAGGCTGGATTCAAGCACTTCTGTTCCAGAGGTGTGTCATTACAAGAATGAACAGGTTGATGAAAAATATCTACAAGAATCCGTTCAGAGGATTCTAGCACTAAAGTGTGGGACAGACAGGGATCAACAGAAGGGGTACAGGAAAACAAAAGCATCAACAGGAATTTGCAAGTTTAGTAAAGTAAAAACAAACTTCAACCAGCTCCTGTGACATTAAATATATGCACAATTTACACTTCACAGATGTGGTGAAAGGGAATTTAAGCACATAAGATCACTAAACATCGGAACTTTGGACACATTGTCTGACCAAAGATCCTGACGTAGTCTCTTTTTTTAAAATGGAAGAGGGAGCACTTTTCATGGCTCAATTTTAAATTCTATCGCTCTTATCATCTTCCACCTCATGACTTTTGCAATCCCAACTAATACTAGTTTGCTGTAACTATGAGCAGAAATAACTCTGTTGGTTTTGTATATTGCATTCTTTGCAAAGAAAAGTGCGTCACAAAAGGCATATACACAGAACTGACGCTAAATACTAAAGACACTAGAATAATACATATATATTGCTTACACAATAGCTTAGTCTTTCACTCAGTATTTAACTGTTTCCAAAAAATCGCTCTCTCATTTCCTGTTGTCCATCATCGCCTCCTAATTCACACAGTGTGATCACTTTTCTATCCTTATTGTCAGATTCATACCTTTTGTCTGACTGCATGCCTTGGTTTTGTTGGCTGTTGCTGGTCTGTAGATCAGGAATATTTGCAAAGTCATCTTGTTCTGTCAAACCCATAATCAGGGAAAGGACCACCATCCGACCTTCACTGAAGAAACCCATTCAGGGAAAAAGGGCAGGGAGAGAGAGGTAGGTAAGACAGAAAGATTCCAATATACAACAGGCAGAGGTAAAACTCTGGTCTGGACTCAACTGCACCAAATGGGACTAGTTTAGTATTAAGGTTGCAATGTAAATGGAAATTACAGGAAGCAAAATTTGGAAGTAAGTGCGCATGCCGTAGAAGGTGTAAGTTGAAGGAAACATCCATTTTAGGTCCAGTGGATAAGGTACATTAATGATCATAATTGTGCAATTTCAGGCACATGAATTGACAAACAAAATTAGCAAACAATTTTAAAACTTATTCATCATTATTTTAAACGGATTTGATTTGAAAACCAGAATGAGTTTGCAAAGGAAAAATCCTTCAAACTCTAAACAAAAATATTCTAGTCTCAGCTGAAATGGTGGTAAGGACACTACAATTTGCCTCAGTACCTTGATAAGGAGGGGTCCTGCTTCTGAATGTTATACAACTACTCCTGCTGGAAAGTATGAATGTGTCAATATCAGGTGAGGACAAAATTGGGCTCAGCTGTGATGTTCCATGTCGTTGAATAGTCTGTGCCAAGTATCTTGTTTCAGTTGCAAAGAAATAAATTGCATGTTAGAGACAGATTTTAACTGAAGATAAAGGGACAATGTATTAAACATGTGAACTGAATAAAATGGGTATAGAACAGAATTGTCATTGAATTCCAGCTCCCACATATCTTGTTCTTTGGCCTCTGTTTGAAGTAATTTGGATACGTAAGGCATGGCATACCTTTTAAGATGGAACATTCTTCTGTTTCAGACCATAACGTCTTTCAAGTTAATGTTTTCTTCCCCTGAAGGTGCTGACTGGACAACCAGGCCCACAGGTGTTTCCTACCCATATCATCCCAGTAGCTATTAGCTATCCAAAATGATATTTGCTGAAGGTGTCGGATGCACCACAGTTATGTCTGATCCTGTCCTTGCGTGTACACATTCCAACATGGTAGGATTCTTAAACATGAACCGGAGTTACAGTTTCCTCTCGTAGCAAAGGGTGCTGAGGCAAATTGGAGATGAATGGCTGAAACCAACCTAGAACTTAAATGTGGGGCCTTCCTGGTCTGGATGACTCAGATCTAAATTTGTTGCGTTCTTTATAATTGAGACATCAGGAGAGCCCATTTTCAATTAATTTATTTTGAACCTGCTGCGAGTTTCTTTTTTTTGGAAAATAAACAAGACCAGATGGAAAGCAGGTAACAATTATTCCAGAAAAAATATTCTGGGTGAAATTGGGACCAAATGTAATGTTACAAAAGGTTAACAAATGTTTTGCACATTCATTTACAGTTCACCTTGTTCACTGGTTATAAAGATCTATTAGTGCACTTGAGAAGACAGGAGAGAATTGCTACAGATCACACCAGACCATCTCCAGGTGCAGCTGAAAGAGACACAGAACTAATTCTTACAAAACTCTGAAAAATACAAGCTTTTGAAAAATCATATGAGTCAGAAGTACAGTAAATTTTCCATTGAAAATGAGTTGTTGGTGCAGACATGGTGGGCCAAATGGCTTCCTTCTGCGCCATAATACTTCTGTGATTCTGAGTTAAAGCCATTGGAATAAACTTCAAATCTGCAATTTTTTCAAGGAAATTGGTTTAAAAACAAAAAGTGAAGAACATTTGTTAAATTTATTAAAATCAAGTTAGCTCAGTATCACAATAGAGACTTCCGGAATTGGACAGTATCAATTCATCAGGACAAAGCACCAGTGGCATCTAACTCCACGCCTTCAGTCTCTGCTAAATTCATGGATATTTTAGCTTTCATGCATTCTTATTTTCTGGTAGCTCAGTGAAGCCAGCAAATCACATTCGAAGAGACTAATATATTGCACTGTGCTTAGTTAACATGCCACATCTGCTTGGGTATCAATTTTGAAGCCCTTCTTTTCTGCTGCAATATGAAAGAGTCGTCCTCTAATGTAAGAAATCCTACTTTACAGTCAGAAATTACAACATTGAAGGTAGTAGGTTGCTTAGCCTACACCAGTAGTATAGTCCATATGGTGTCTTTTCCCAGTACACTATGGGTGTTTACATGAAACTCGCACTGGCAAAGGAAAAGTGTTGGTATAATATTGAAAAATGTATTTAGGGAACAACTTTCCATCAAATGTCTCAAAGAAATTTACCTCCAATTAATTTCTAATTGATTTAATTGTAATTAATTGTAACCAATTTTGAAGTGTGGTCACAGTCGTGATGTAGAAAATATGACAGCTAATTTATATATAGGAAGCTCTCCACAAACAACAACGTGACAATGACCAGATATGTTTTTGTGATGTTGATTTCGGGATAAATACTGGCCAGGATACGAGGGGATAGCTCCCCTGATCTTCTTCAGATTTCAGATCTATTAAATAGTAATTGAGTTGTTGCCCTGTAAAGGAGAATTTGTTACAAATATTGATTTCCTAAACATATCATAGAACATCAACCAATTAGAAATAAATCAATCTCAAATAGCTTCAATAAAGCTGAGTAGTGTGTTCAGGCACCATTGACATAGAGGAACCTCGACTTAGTTGACAGGTCTTATTGTCATTTTATTCTTCTTCTCCTGCAAGGCATTATATTTACATCAGGAATTGGGATGAGGAAATGATTACAGACCCATGTTAATATTGCCTCATTATACCCAAATTACTAGTTCTTAATTAGGTTAGTAAGCATATCATAATTCATTTATTCCTTGATCCGTGATGGAAAATTTACGCCAACTGAGAACCAAAACTGTTTCTCCCAGATGGCAGATTAGCGTGCCTATGTGTTGACATGAACTTAGAGGTCATTATCTAACCAGTAGCCTACTGGGATGTGATCAGTAACTGGTCAGTCTCACATGACACATACTGCAGCAAAGCAATGAGCAATTTAAATATTTTTAGTCTCTGAGTCATTGTTATTTTCTATTTTTGAATGACCCAGTGAAAATGCTGTACCAAACAGCACTTAAAAACAGTGTAGACAAACAGGAGGCTGGAAGAACACAGCAAGCCACACAGTATCTGAAGGAAAGAAGCAGTCAATATTTCGGGTATTACCCTTCAGGACTGAAGTCGCGAGTCCTGAAGAAGGGTAATACTCGAAACGTTGACTGCTCCTTTCCTCCAGATGCTGCCTGGGTTGCTGCGTTCTTCCAGCCTCCTGTTTGTCTATCTTGGATGCCAGCATCTGCAGTTTTTTTTTTATCTCTAGCACTTAAAAAGATCGAGTTGTTGGGAATGAAAGAAAAACCTACAATTTTTTCTTAACATCATTTAGTAAGGATTTGTTTTGAGTGTGTGACTGTATATTTAAAACATATTTTCTCTCCTCTCTGACTTTTTTGGGCTACACAGGGTCAGAAGTTGGTTTGAAGGAAAATCTCAAGACTCAACCTCAGCAAGTTAGGCTCAACCTGTTTTAAGAGGTGATTAAAAGTTTCTTAGATTATTTTTCAGACATTACTTGGTTCTTCTGCTGGGGTTATGGAGGACAATTGGGAAAACCCAAGGGGAAAGTGGGTATGCTTTGTCACTATGTACTGTCTCTAACCCGAGAGAAAAGCTGCTGAAAGTTAAAATATTAGAATAAAGTGCAGAATTTCTGAAATGAATCGAACACAATAATTGATCTTGCTAATTTTAAAATTAAACAGAGTTCTTCCTCATCCACAATGAATGATCACAGGCTATACAGTAATAACCCATTGAGTTGAAGATGACTGAGATGTAAAGTTGAATATTGTGAGCATACATTTCAGAGCTAGTTCTATTCTTCTGAACTGAGTTCAAGAGAATTTTCTTGATCAGTACATTTCCGACTCCATGAGAAAAAGGACATTGCTGGATCTGGTTTTGGGAAATGAGTGAGTCATATCGATAAGTGTCAGCAAGAGACATTTCGAAAACAATGATCAGAGGAACATTGGACTGAGATTATTTGTGCAGAAAGACAAGGAGTAATCTGGGGTAAAAATATTTAGAGGTTTAAGTTCAAAGGGTTGAGAACACCCTTGACCCAAATATTTGGAATCAAAGATTGTGAGGCAAACAATGTAACTTAGTGGGCTGCCTTTAAACAGAAAATAGCTTGTCTACATTCCCAAAGAGGGGAAAAGGTAGGACATTCAAAGCTGGATCACCTAGATGATAACAAGGCAATGAAATAGACAGAAGGCAGATGTCAGATCAATAATACCAGTGAGAAATGAAGTACAGATTGTTCAAAGTGATAGAAGAAATAGGAGAAACAAAGAGAGAGTCTGACTGGCAGCTAATATAGGAAGGAAATTCAAAGCATCCTACAGGCATTTGAATAGCAAAAAAGTTGTAAGCAGAGGAATGAGGCCAATTAAAAACTGACAGGACAATCTAAGCATGGAAACTGAGGGCATGACTGAGTTTTCTAACAGAATTTTCTTTACATCTGTTTTCACTAATTCAATTAAGAACTGATACTGGATGGACCACAAATTGTTAAAGGGGAAATATCAGAAATGCTGGCTGTATTTAAAGTTGATAAAAGTTTGTAGGACCAGATTGGATACATCCTAGGATACAGAGGGAAGCTATGATACAGAGGGAAGCAAGGTCAGTTAGCATGGATGTACTGGCTACAATCTTCCAACCTTTGTTAGATATGGGGATGATGCCCTGACTGGAGAATTGCAAGGCCACTCAATTTAACCTCTGTCATGAGAAAACATTTAGAATCAGCCATCTGGAACAAGATTTGCAGTCACTTGTACAAGGCAGGATTAATTATGGAAAGCCAGCAGAAATATGTTAAATATAACTCAACTTTAAACAACTGTACTAAGTTTTTTTTTAATGAAGCAAAGAGGTCTACGAGTAGAATACAATTGATGTGGTGTAGATAGACTTCCAAAGGCATTTGACTAAGTGTGACCAATGTCAGACAATATAACTAATGATACAAAGTTCTTGAGTAC